AACTAAAATTGCGTTTGGTAGTTTAATTTTTAAAAACATGTATATAATATTTAAACTAATAATATATTAAATAAATATATTAAATAAACATATATAATACAAAAACGGTTTCAGAAAAGAGGGAAGAAAATGAAAAAGAAAAAAAAAAAGTGAAATCCGTTTTTCAGAAAACAGAAAACGAAAACAAGAAAATGAAAACACCTTTTTTTCGTTTTCTGATTTTCACAAAAAGACAAAAACGTTTTTGGTTTTGTTTTTTTAAAAAAATTGCACCAAATACGTTTTTAACACCCGTTTTCATTTTTTTGCTTTGAAAACCGTGAAAAACGAAAACGAAAACGCAAACAAACGGGCCCAAGATCTCTCATTAACTCTTTTATCACTCTCTACCACTCCATCTGTTCAAACTTCGTTCAATGAGACTGGCTTAGTATTGCATATTTTTAACAAAAACAAGGGCAGCAATTTTTTTTTTTTGTTTTGCATCAAAATTCTTAGTCAGGGCTTCTTGATCATCAGATTTCACTCACACACACACATATATATAAAGCAAAATATATTGTGCTCAAGGCAGATAATGTTCGTTGCTGGAACTGACACATCCGCAAACACCATAGAGTGGTGCATCTCACTTCTCCTAAACCATCCACAAGTACTGCAAAAGCTTCGAAACGAAATCGACAGCAACGTTGGACATGGTCGACTGGTTAAGGAGTCGGATCTTCCAAAGCTTCCATATCTTCGCTGTGTCATCCATGAGACTCTTAGACTATATCCCATAGTACCTCTTTTGTTGCCTCACTTTTCATCAGAAGATTGCACTCTGGGGGGATACCAGATACCTCAAGGCACAACTTTGCTGGTCAATGCTTGGGCAATTCACAGAGATTCCAATGTATGGGACGAGCCTAACACTTTCAAGCCAGAGAGATTTGAAGAGCATCACATGTTGGAGGGTGAAAGAGAAGGGAACAATTTCAGATTCATTCCGTTCGGAATCGGAAGGAGGGCTTGTCCTGGGGAAGGAATGGGAATCCGAACTGCTTCGTTGGCGGTGGGCACGCTTCTTCAATGCTTTGATTGGGAGAGAGTTGGGAAGGAATTGGACATGAGCCAAGGCTATGGAATTACTCTCTTTAAGAGTAGGCCTCTTGAAGTTGTTTGTAGTCCTCGCCAAATTATGATTGATCTTCTCTCTCAACTTTGATATTGTTATTGTGCCTGCCATACTGTTTGATGCAGGGAGAAAAGATTATCATCCATCGCATAGCTTGTTTCCATTTCTCTGAATTTGGGTGAGTACAGTTGTTTAATCTTTTATGCAATATCCAGAATAGGATTTGGAAAACTGCAAGTAAGTGCTGGGGTCCCTTTTTTTACTGAACTATAAACACCTTTACCCGAAAAAGATAAAAAAAAAAACCTTAACTATAGATGATTACAAAGTAATTATTCCAAGAATGATTACTTTTTTATAATAAACAAAATATTCTACTAACGATACAACAATCAAGCCCCAACATGCTGTTTAGTTGTTTAAAAATAGAAATAGTTCAAGGATGAATTTTTTTTTCCACTCATTCTTATTCAGAATTCATACAACTCAATCTCAACAAATCTATAAAAATGTATTGTCTCGTTTTCATGAAATTTTTCTTAAATCATACATCATTTAATGGATAGAGGCATGGAGCCCTTTAAAAGTCAAAGCCTAATACTTCACGGCGAACTACACAAACTGGATAGAAAGAAACTAAGTTCCTGTTTGATTTGATGGTTCGAATTGTATTGATTTAAATAAAAAAATTCAAACTATGTGGTTTAAATTATAGTCTGTACTGGTGCTTGGCTGTGCAGTTCAAGATCTTGACAAAAAACCAACATCCAAAAGGATACAATGAGACAAATAATAATTTGCCCCCAAGCCCACCATCTCTCCCTATGAACGGCCAGTCGGCCACCTCCATCTTCTCAAAGAGCCATTCCACCGGTCCCTCCAATCCCTCTCTTCCAAGTACGGCAAAGTCTTCCTCCTCCGCTGCGGACTCGCAAACTTCTCCTCATCTCCTCTGCTGATCAACTCTGTTTTAGAAAATCCGGGTGTAGTACTTCGGGGTGAGTTAAGAAGGGCTGTTTCGGAAACACGAGGAATGTGTTGAAACTTGAAAACCAACCTCCAAATGACAAACAAAACAAAGCCCAGTGGGTAGCGGCTTTATTGAAACGACGCGAAGCTGAACAACAGCGAGCTCGAAACGACATGAAACCAACCTCCAAACGACAAACAAAACAATGCCTGGTGGCTTACAACAGCGAGCTCGAAACGACATGAAACCAACCTCCAAACGACAAACAAAACAATGCCTGGTGGCTTTATTGGAACGACGACAATCCGAACAACAATGAGGTTCAAACGACACCAAGCTGAAGATGCTATTTGCAACGAGTGCTTTTAGTGCAGTAATTACCACCAAGAACAATACAGTTAACTTTTTATAATTATTTTAATCGTTCTAATGGCTGCACATCTCATCAAGCTTCTTGAACCTGAGACTGGTTGAGTACTGCAAATTTGTAACAAAAGAAATAAGGAATTATTCGATAGCACTCAATTTACTTCAACATGTGAGCCAAAAAAGACAGAAAATTTGGAAAATGATACCATGATGGTAGGTTAAGTTTTACAAGGTTAAAAAATAAAAATAATTGAGCCAAAAAAGACAAAATTAGGAAAATGATGAGACCATGATGATCAACATCCTTAACAGCAAGTTTAATTAATTTCTGAAATGGCACAAAAAATTAAATTAAAAAAAAAAAGACAAGTTAAATTGCCAAATATACTAATATAATAGGAGCAGTATAAAAATTAGTTTAATCAATAGAGTTTTAAGTGTGTGTTGTAATCCATTGCCTTTCTAATATATGATTTCCATCGTTGTCGATTCAATCAATGATTGCATCAAGACATTAGAGGTAAATGACAAAAAAAAAGAGTTTTTGGCCATTATAATCTCCGCCGGACATTACGATAAGCAAATCTGTTTGTCTATTATGAACATTTTCGTCATGGAAATGGTAGATACATACCATTACCTAGTTTGCTTCCTCATCTTTCTCATTGCAAAACTTGTATTGATCCGATCCAAAAACAAAAATTCTCCGCCAACCCCTTTCTCTCTTCCACTAATCGATCACCTCCACCTCCTTAAACAGCCACTATACCAAACACTCCAAACTCTGTCTCTAAAACATGGTCCGACCTTTTCTGTTCAGCTTGGTTTCCGATCCTTCGCTATCATATCTTCTCCAACCTTTGTCAAAGTCTGCTTCACCAAAAACGACCTAGTCTTCGCAAACCGGCCACGTACCGTAGCCAGTAATCACCTATCGTGTAATTACTCTAACTTTGTGTTGGCTCCTTATGGCGAGGCCTTCGAAGACTCACCACCATCAAGATGTTTTCTCAGAAGAGATTTTAGAAGTTCTCTGTCGTACGAAAAGAATGTCCCATTCATTTTACCGATTTAAATTTTACTATAGTAAAAAATTCTTACATAAAGTCACATTTAAACTCAAACTAAAAAACTCAAATTAGCAAACTAAACAAGCCCGAAATTTGTTCCATTGTCCGCCAGTTGTTTATGGCCTTGAATGAGGGACCGCAAAAGGTGAATTTGAACCATCTTATCTTTCTCTAGAAGTTCAATGTCACGACGAAACAACGTTTTTCTTTAACAATATAAGAAGACTCTTCGTGGTTTGACTCCAGCTTCATGCCTCAAGTTTCATAGATCCACTTACAACTATAATCCCCATCAATTTATACAAGTTTTTTACTTTTTTATCATTTATTGTTATTAAATCACCTCTCTTGACTAAAACTACTATTCGCATAATACTCACAACTTAAAGTGTCCAAAGCCTCTAAAAAATCAAACTTCTCCTTAATTGAGGAACATGCCTACCATGTGTTAATGTCCTCACAATTTCATCAAAAATCTTCACCTTCATAGTATCAATTCCAACAGTTTTTAACATTAGAATCATTAGCCATCAATAGAATACAAGCATCACAGGACTTATAAGAATCAAACAACTCCTTATATGGGTTGTTGGGCACATATAAAACGAGCATTTAGAATCTAAACTCTAAGAGTCAAAAATATTTTTATCAGTAATAACAGAATAAACATCATCTTCACTCTCATACTTGTCACCAACAACATTTACACAATTAAAGTCTCCTCATGTTCTTGTTTTCTTTTTTCTTTTAGATACTTTGTCAATTTTTTACAGTTTCTTCTAATACGTGTCTTCTTATAACAAAAAGAAAGAAATGGAATCAAGAAATCGAGTAGTAGAGTTCGCCATCGAAATGTAGCCGTCAGACACCATCAATCCAGCCAGCGGTGATTCTTGATAGTGAAACGATATCGCTGTTAGACATTGAAGAAGGATTGCCTAAAAGCCATCATTTTCATTCTATTTGGAACTAACAAATCCCAAAAAATGAAAAAGCATAAGATAAGAAGAGAAGAGAAAAATAAATCCGAAACAAAATTAAATCGAGGAAAAGGAAGGAAAAACAAATGCAAAGAGATAAAGAGGAGAGGGTAAAGGAAGTGCAGCAAAGACCCAAACGAGAGATAGGGAAAGGCTGTGGAAGACGAAAGTCGAAGAGCCAAAAAAAAAAAAAAAAAAAACTCCAGCGAATCACTGAAACGGATTGCCTAATTTGTATGGAAAAGGAAGACAGGGTGTCTTTTATTTTATTAAATGATGACAATAAAAAAAGTAATTATTATAAGAATGATTACTAGTTTATTATAAACAAAGTTTACTTCTAACAACAAAACAATCAAGACCCAAAACATAGTTTAGTCATTAAAGAAATAGAAAATAGCTCATCGAACTTCGAAGAGATGCTCTTTTTTTTTTCGCTTCCTCATTCTTACTCGGAATCCATATTGCACAGTCTCAACAAATTTATAAAATGTATTGCCATCCTTGAAAGGGATAAGTTTTTTTTTTTTTTTTCCCCCTCTTTCTTACTCAGAATTCCATATTGCTCAACCTCAACAAATTTGTAAAACATATTTTACATCCATCAAAAAATAATAACAAAAAAAAAAAGAAATTGCCTTGCTAATAATTTATTATCATTCTTTTTCAAGGAATTTTTCTTAAATCATAAATCATTTTTTCGATGGAGACATGGAGCCCACTTAAAAAGTCAAAAACTAATGGTTCATGGCTAACTGCACAAACTAGGTTTGTTCAAAGAAGCTAAAAGTCTGTTGGAACAAGGCAAATACCAATATACCAACACCTATGGAAAACAACACAAACTTCTACTTCTACTTCTACAGCTTGGCTGTGATAATCATCTTCACTCACCTCCTGAAGATCTTGGTAAAAACTGAACAGTCAAAAAGACAAACAAATAATAATTTGCCACCAAGCCCACCATCTCTCCCAATCATCGGCCATCTCCATCTTCTCAAAGAACCCATCCACCGGACCCTCCAATCCCTCTCTTCCAAGTACGGCAAAGTCCTCCTCCTCCGCTGCGGATCTCGCAAACTTCTCCTCATCTCCTCCGCCTCCGCCGCCGAAGAATGCTTCACCAAGAACGACGTAGTCTTCGCCAACCGTCCCCACACCCTCGCCGGAAAGATCTTCCACTACAACTACTCGACCGTCTCCGTGGCCCCCTACGGCGACCACTGGCGCAACCTCCGCCGCGTCATGACGCTGGAGCTCTTCTCCTCCTCTCGCCTCGCCGCGTTCTCGAGCGTCCGAGAAGGAGAAGTCAAGTTGCTGCTCGAGCAGATAAAGCAGATCTGCGAACAGGGGATGACGACTATTGATCTGAAATCCAAGTTTGTCGAGATTTCGTTTAACGTCATGACGATGATGCTGGTGGGTAAGAGGTTTTACGGAGAGTACGTTGAGGATGTTGAGGAAGCGAAGAGAATAAGGGATGTTATTAGGAGAGGAGTTGAGTTGAGTGGAGCTTTTGATGTGGGGAATTTTTTGCCAATGTTGCAGTGGATGGACGTTCTTGGAGCGGAGAGGAAGATGGTTGGGGTGATGGCGGAGATGGACAAGTTCTTGCAGGGTCTGATTGAGGAACGACGTCGGATTATGCGAAGAGATCAGGTGAAGACAACGGTGGTTGATAACATGTTGGCGCTGCAAGAAACAGAGCCGGAGACCTTCACCGACGACATAATCAAAGGCATCGTATTGGTAATTTGATTATTTTTTAAACCCTTTACCATGATTATTATTATTATTATTATTATTATTATTATTTGTGTTTATCATCATTTATTACTATTAATGATTAGTATATCTTAATATTAATTACTTTGATCGTGAAAGACAATGCTGGATTACACCAAAAAAGGATGCCGGCCGGATTTACATTTTTCTCCCGCTTTGTTCATGAAAATGGTGTACGGATTGGATGGACCTTATCTTTTTGTAAACAACCCATTGTCCTTGTTGAATTATAAATAAGTAAAGACGGGCATGGCCTATTAATTATGATATTCCCTTGGGTATAATATTTATTGATTCAGTAAATAATAATACATAGTATGATAAGGTTGAAGGTATATATTGACGCCAAAATTAGTTTAAAAAAAAGGTCTTAACGTGACATAGTTTTGGCAGCATATAAAAAAAGAAGTCAATATTAGGGATATTAATTTCAAAATGTGATTGAACGTCATCACTATTGCTTACTTGTTCTTGAAGGTATTACTAGTTGCCGGAACCGACACTTCATCAGCAACCATGGAATGGGCAATGTCGCTGCTCCTAAACCACCCAGACGCAATGAAGCGAGTCAAAGACGAGATCGACACAACAGTCAGAGAACACGGTCGTCCGCTTGATGAACATGAGTTGCCAAAGCTGAACTACTTGCGAAACGTGATCAACGAAACGCACCGCTTGTACCCATCTGTCCCG